ATCTTTGCCAACATGTCATCGCCCCCTCTTTGCCAACATGCCATCCCACCCTCTTGCCAAAATGTCATCCCACCCTCGGCCAAAATGAATCCCACCCTCTTTGCCAAAATGTCATCCCACCGTCTTTCCCAACATGCCATCCCATCGTCTTTGCCAACATTTCATCCCACCCTCTTGCCAACATTTCATCCCACCCTCTTTGCCAACATGCCATCGCACGCTCTTTGTCAACATGCCATCCCACCCTCTTTGCCAACATACCATCCCACCCTCTTGCCAAAATGTCATCCCACCCTCTTTCCCAACATGGCATACCACCGTCTTTGCTAAAATAAATCCCACCCTCTTGCCAAAATGTCCAGCAACATACCCATCCAAGATTTCAGTGTACATATGGCAATAATGCATCTTAAATTTCATGGTAGATTTTAAATGTTTTGTTCATATGCTTCTTTCTCTTGGTGTGCCTATCCTCCACATAACGGCTTTGTACGATCTATCTTCTACAGTAGGTTACAACATCAACTGCAGCAACGAGCCTCCATGCAGCGGGGCATGGCGCCAGGCAACATCATGCCCCAGCACCAGCCCACTGCCCCGCACAGTGGCGGCCAGCCTTACATGCAGCCGCTGGCTGCCCCGCAGGAGCGCCAACACCAGGTGCTGCGGCAACAGCGGCTGGCCGTCCTGCAGAAACAGCAGCAACAGCAGCAGCAACAGCACCAGCCGCCGCAGCACCACCAGCAGGACCAGCAGACGGCCAACCTTGTCAGCCGCCTGAAGAGCCAGATGACGCAAAGCGGCCCAGGCAGCATGGGACCTGCGCAGGCCATGCAGCAACAGCCCCCTCCGCAATATAATCCTTACCAACAGCAGTACTGAGTGTTGGCATACTGCAGTGGTAACTCATTAGGAGATACCATTACCGTGGTATCGCCTATAGCCATAGAATCTCCTGCCTGTGGTACCAACACCTGTCAGGATACTCCTATGGCATGGGACCTGCGAAGGCCATGCAGCAACAGCCCCTCCCCTATATAATCCTTACCAACAGCAGTACAGAGTGTTAGCATACTGCAGTGGTAACTCATCAGGAGATACCATTACCGTGGTATCAACTATGGCCATAGAATCTCCTGCCTGTGGTTTTGTGGTCCCAACACCTGTCAGGATTCTCCTGTGGCGTGGGGCCTTCACTGGCCATGCAGCAACACCTTTCTCTGCTTCATAATCCCAACAGTAGCATTGAAAGCTTCCTATTCCATTCACTCAACGTAACTCACATCTTGTGGCCGTAGGATCTCACAGCTGTGGTATCTTGTGCCTTGGGCACCTTGGCATTCTATGGTGTAGGCCTACTCAAGCCAAGCCATAGTTGCCCCACCTGGTTAGAATCTCTTCCAAGAGCAGTATTAAGTGTAACATACCACATTGAGTGCTCATCACCTAGATCTCATTCTCGTGGTATCCCCTATGGCTGTGGAGTCTCATAGGTGTCATATGCCTTGATCACCGTGGCATTTTGCCATGGCATAGAGCATACATAGGCCATGCAGCACAAGCCCTCACCAGAGTATAAGCCATACCAAAGCAAAAGCATTCTCGGGCGAGATGGGGCCCATACAGGCTATGCAGCAGTGAACGACTAGTTTGCATTGGTATACGACTTTGCTTGACTGTCGTACAAGTCACTTCTGAGCTTGTAATCTCGGGAGAAATCTGGAAGACTTTTTTGCATATCAGAGTCACGAATGTCACAATTAAATCCATTTCAGACAAGTGTATATATACTTATATTTTAATTTCATGGTATACTATTTAATGTATACTTTATTGTAAGCTATTTAATGTAATGATTCAAAGTGAAATAATATTGTAATACTGGAATATTACACTCCTTTAATAAGGCAAAAGAAAGCAAGGGTCAGTCGAGACCCTTTTTCTCAAACCACTTTATGGGGGAGAGTGCTGAAAATCAAAATATTTATGAGTCTAGAAATATGGACATCTCAGTTTCTGAATATTTAAGTGTTTGTAGTTTATCAGGATGTGTGAGTAACAAGCATACAGAAAAATCCTGGCTTTGGCACATTGCCAAGAGTAGTGCAGCTAACGTCAATGGCCAGAGGTTGGGAAATTGATTCACATGGATTTAACAACCGAAGTTGCCAGTTATGTCCTTTGAATGGCTTAAAATTGTTTGGAGCTCAATTCCAGAGTAACATGTATTTGCAGAACTCAATTTCTGGCAAATGCCCAATATCGGATGCGACTCCCCGGTAATGCAAATGCTTTTTGGAGGTGTACTTGACCTTCCATCTCATGTGGGTGTTAGCAAGTTAGTCCGGTGTGATACAGAACCGGACTGGATGAAAAGTGGGTTTTTTAAATAAACAATAGGTTACACACTTTCGGATCCAACATGTAAAACGTGTGGATCACTGGTCATTCTGAGATGCACAAATGAGTGAAGCTATATGTTGGTTTGCAAATCCTCCATAGGGATGTGCAGAGGGAACCAGTCTCAAGAACTTCCATAATTGAAAAAACATAGTTCATTTTAATAGTTTATTCCTGTTCACGTTATGCCACATTAACCATATGCTGCCGGGGCACCTAGGCTTTATACACAAAACCGGGGAGCCTGAAACTGGACAAAAGAGCTGGGCCTTGTAACAAAAGACCATACTCCGAACAAAAGACTGAGCTGCTGGGAATTGCCAACGTTTTTTTCACTTGTCAATAGCAGAGAAAATCTGTCCTTTTTTTGAGAGATTATTTTTGGCATTTAGCACCAGCAGATTACCAACGGGGACAAAAGCTCTCCGGCGATGAGTGATACAATACCACTACATACCACTGTTGAAAGACGCCAGCTGTGCGCTGTGCGCTGCGCTGGTTTCGGGAACAAAAGAAAATTACATAACACTCCACAATCTTGGCTCTTTTTACAAGGCAGCAGGCCTGGCTGAAATACTCAGATGTCAATAGATGTTGTCTGTCAGATTAGAGTAGTCACCAAACAGTTATTCGTGTGGGTGTAAACGTCCAGTATAAAATGAAGCTGTGATTTTTTTAGGAATTTGGGTTTTACGTCATGCAACTTCAAATCCCACCTGGCAGCAAGTGGTTAAGGAATCCAGTTGGTAAGTGGCTGCGTCAGTACTAGCACTAACTGGATGTGGCTTTCTATACTTCTTCTGTTCCTATAGTTCAAGTGCTAAACTGTGAGTTGGTGGAATTTTAGCACCAATGACCTCACATCTGCAAACCCAATTTAAAATGCTTACTAAACTTAGGATGTCTCCCCCGAAAAAGAGATTTTGTCTGTATAGCCATGAATAAGAAATTACAAAATCACATCCAGAGTGTTTTAACATTTTTGTTGAATTTCAGAGCATGTTTAGGGTTTTATTTTGGTTTCTTTTCAGACTTGTGAAACTTGGGAAAATTCTCATGGAAGTATTTTTCAATTCAAACTGAAATGCAGACTTGCTGTTCTGTTTAATATTGAATGTTGTCATTGTATTGTACACAAACGTGATCATCGATACCAAATTGAAAGTCAGGAAAGATCAGTGATGAAATGTTACCTGTGAAAAGAAACTCTGATAAACTAATAAATATGCATAATATTAGGAATATTCATACTGCACATTAATATTTAAATAAAAGTCGAGTTTTTAAATTAAACAACACTTTGCCATTGTACTTGTTTCAATGCTTCCTGCTGGAAAGACCTGTCTGTCTTACCAGCATTGTAGTGTTATGTGAAATCATAGCTTGAGAATTTGAGGTTAAATTTGTAAAGTTATGAATGGTAGCTGGGAATTTTCATTTTCAAGTGCTTGCAAGGATTTGCAGAAAAATGCACTTATTGGAATTCGTTGTCAGCATTGATTTCTAGCTAGGGTGTTTTCACATGTATTTGTGAAATGAAACATTTCGTGAAATTTTTCTTTTGCACAAAAGCATGTGCAAACAAAACCTGACTTCAGCCAACTTTCATGCCCTTGACCCTTTCTTTTTACTCATGAAAGTCACTAGACCTCTTGTGGCCAAAAGCAGTCCACAGAGCTTGATATGAAAAATGTTCTCAAGTAAAGGCAATGATAAAGATGATACACATTCATACAGAACCAAACATGAAAGGAAAAAAAAGAGTAAAACAACAACTTTGTCTTCTTTTTTATGTGAACTTGTAACTCACTTGCACCCTGTTTTCACAGGGTAAACCTTTCACAATCCTCTGACATTGGTAAGTGCACACACCTCAGGTTCAACTTTTCAGCAATATGATCGATATGAGATTTTTGAAATTCCACAGATAGTACCAAATGAAAGTTCAAAGGATTCAAAAAATTTATGACGCTTTATAATTAAAAGCATCTCGATCCGTGAGCTCTAGAAGTGAACCCTCATTCCATTTTTGAAAGGATTAAAAAAATTTTGGAATAAAGATTAATGAGTAACTTCAGGTGTATCATGCAACATGCATCTAAATGTCACAAAGTGACTCTCGAGGGGTATCACACATGTTCATGCACTTTCAATAAATTGTAATCTGGGAATAACTATAGTGATACAATCACTAATTAATTCATTGATTTCACCAGTTCAAAATTCTCCTAAGGAGAGATTTAAAAACCATAATAACACCAAGCTTTTAGATAGAATTACATGGAAATTAAAGCCGATTAGATACTTTCAAAAACAAAAATGCTCCTCAAAAGTGAATGGTGAATCAGTACCTACTTCACATGCTTGCTGAATAATTATATATTCAAATAAATATTCAGTAATACTAATTTTCATTAATAAATTTGAATAAAATCTTAAGTCCAGGACTTTCCTATTCTCTGGATTGGATAGGAACTCAATGTAATATTGATCAAAGGATACAAAATGAGCAGGTTATGGGGTTGGATATGTGTTTTGACATGTGTATGTGATTGCTTCTCTCAGTCTTCACACAGGAACTGAGATTTCACAGAAAAGTCATCCAAAACATTCAAATAACATTTTCCATCTCAAAATTTTTATAATGCCCAATTGCATCTCCTAGTATTTATTTAAACAACTTTTTAGAATCCATGCCAAAAGAAGATTTTAAAAATGATGATTTAAATTTTTCTAAAACTTAAGAAGCAAAATTTCTAATGAAGTTGTCAAATGTTCGAAAAATCTGACACACAAAAAATCAACCGTCTCAGTCAAAAAATGTGCGCAGCAGATTACAAAATGACCTTTTTCTTTTAACACCCACATTGTTACAATTCCCCTTTTCTTCACCTACACCGAAAAGAGCACTGAGTGAAAATAATTGAAATTTCAAACGCATAAACTGGAAACTATTTTGAAATCCTCAATTTCCATGGAGCTTCATTCCTCTCTTCCTCACTTGCCGTTTACGACAGTTTCTGGTCCTTTTGACACTGTGAAAAAGCAAAACATAGTGCTGTTACAGTGGGACAAAATATACTGTGAGGGTCCTGTATTTCTGCACAGTTTGGGCACAGATTTGACAAGATGCTACTCTTAATTTTATTTCTATGACAAATACTAACACAAGACAAAAGCATTGCTGGTCTGTCTTTTTAAAAAGGCTGAATGGATAAAAAATATTCATCCAGGGAATAAAGAATTCTTAATGACAAGATACAATAAAGGAGAAACACTGTAAAGGAGTGACAGAATTCGAGAGCCACACTCATTCTACAAAGGAGTGGATCGCTTTCTACATAGTGCACACATTCTATTTGGTGGGATTTTCATTCCCATTTAAATATGTCTGACGTTCCTGTTGCAGATTAGTGATGTAGAAAGTTATACAAATTGTAGTGCTCTGATAACTCTGAATTGAAGTTTGGACATTTTTCACTGATTTCTGGCAACAGTGAAGATCATGACTAAGCTGGTTATACAGTTCCTTGTGTGCAAAATGCGGTGCCGTCAATACTATCACAAGTCCATTCACAAGAGACCCCGCCACCCCGCATGATCAACCTCATGGCCAGGTACACGTCAAAGTGTCACACTCTTCTCAAAGGACTTTCACCTTGTACCCATGGAACCAGTCATTCTAGGGGTCATTTTTTAAGTAGCGGGGTATTCTGCAATTCCTCCCTAGTCAAGCATAAGAGGGTGAACAATAGCTTACAAATGCTCTGGTTGCTGTTCATTTGAATAGCTTGTGACTTGAATTCAGACTGGAGATCTCCCAGTGGTCTTGTGGTTCTTATAAGAGGTCTCTATACTACAATACTGGCAAAAAGTTCACAATACTTGGAGGTTTGCAGAGCTTAATGTACAAGGGACTGTTCAAAAATTGTGCACTGAAATAATGACAGGACAGGACAAGGTGTCCATAATTCCAAGCAGTTGGGGGGGCAGGTAAGCGGTCTACTTACTGCAAGCAAAGAATGCAATCTCGGCCGTGCAGGGGGCTTGTCTCCACTTGTAGTCATCCTTCTCACTGCAGAGGAAAACAGAACCACAAAAATGAGTTTGGAGGAACATTTGCCATGCCTCATAACATTCCACTGGATTTTGGAATGAAATGAACGAAGATTAGGGATTGGAAACTTCTACAGAGCCTCAAGTTTTTCCAAACTGTTTATAATAGCAAAATTCGATAAAAGGAAGATGATTTTTTTCATCTATGTAAATGTAGCTTCACAAATCGAAAAGTATTAAGTGGACTGACTTTCAGTCTGAAGCTTTGTTTCTCAGGCAGTAAATGCCCGAGGCAAAGATAGAATCTTTGTCAATAAGCCATTTCTATGACAGCTATTATGTTTCCTTTTTGACAGAGGTTAGCAGCCCCAGAAAGTTGTCAGGTTGTCCATCAGTCTGTACCTCATGATCAAGCAATCGCCACTGCCCTTGTCGTTGGCCCACCAGGTCCATGTCTCATGTTTAGACTTGCTGTTTATCCAAACGTCACCTACAGCCATAAATGGTTACGAGAAAGAATTCATGCAGTTTTACAAGCTGATCTGCGTTTCATTCAATAGTCAACGCTCCGTTGCACCACAGATTCAAAATTGGCTCATCCCCTTTGCACATGCCCACATTCAAACACCTCACAAATGACCACCTTATCTTACCCTTTTATGAGACATCAAACTAACTGCAGACTTTCATCCACTTGAATCAATAAACTTACATTCTCAAGCTGGAAGGGATATTATGTTTTACTAACATACCTTTGAAACAGTCCCTACATTCTACGGTACACTCTGTGAGTTTCCCTGTGAGGACCCATTCTGGGCTGCCCTACCTTCATACTTGTTCCGGAAGGCCTTGGCAATCATGTCTTGGATCATCTTCTCTGAAATGACTGCCAGCTCCATCCCACTCTGTTTGCAAGCGGCCACAGCACTGTCCTTGGGTCCGTAAATGCTCCCATAGGACACGGATATCTCTTGTTGGATCTGCTGACCGCTAGAATACGACTGCTCATATGTGTACCCACTGCCAGAGGACTGACTCTGGCCAGAGGACCCAGAGGATAGCTTCTGGCCAGAGGACTCAGAGGACTGCTCCTGGCCACTTTCATAGGTATAGCTACTCTGGTATGTGTTGCCACCACCAGAACCGGAGGAACCACTGGCAGATTGGGTAGACTTGCTAGTCTTGGTTTTGTCACTGCCTGACTTAGAACTTTTCTGCTCCTTCATTTTTAAAGATGCTTGACCATCAGTAGTTGGTCTTGATTTTCTC